ATAATAATAATAATAATAATAATAATAATAATAATAATAATAATAATAATAATAANTGAAGAATCGAGCTACTAAGTTGAATTTGAAGAATCGAGCTACTAAGTTGAATTTGAAGAATCGAGCTACTAAATTGAATTTGAAGAATCGAGCTATTAGAGATCAGGGTGCGAATTTATCTTATGCAAAATAAATTATACATTAATTCGAATAACTAGAGTTTAAAGTAATTTATGACATGTACACAACAAATATCAAAGCATATTAAAACATGCCTAATTAGTTTTACATGAATAGCAATTCGGTTTATAACACGTTGTATATTGTAATTTTCAAAAAGAGAATTTGTAGTCAATTTTTTAATATACTTAGAGAGTTGCTTCTTTTTAAGTCAAGAGGCAGGTTATTCCACATCTTAAGATGAGAGCTTGATGGTAAATACTGTAATGAGCACATTTTGAGAATGTCAAGTTGATAGTTAAGAAATTTTCAAAGTTTCCTAGCTTTTTAAAAATGTTTTCAAAAGATGCAGGAAGAAGTATGTGTATATTTATACATAAATATAGCTTGGTTAGAATCTTATACTTAAGGAAAAGAGGATCACTATGAGACGTGGCTTTTGAGTTATCAATTAATCGTATTGCTCGTTTCTGTGAAATGTGAATTTGTTTCATTTCTGAACATTTGTTCCTTCCCCAGACTGAAATTCCATATTCTATAAATGATCGAAATAAAGAGTTGTAAATGGTCAGTTTAATATTACTAGGAAGAATATTTTTTACACTTGACAAAGCAAAAACTGCACTGGATGCTTTGTTTTTAACCGCCTTAAGATGATAGTTCCAGTTAAGATTTTCGACTAAATGAACACCTACAAACTTAAAAGATTCATTTTTGCATCCAGTTCCTACTCTTTCTATATCTTTATTATCTATTTAAGTTTATTTTTGAAGAGAATATATTTCAGCTATGAAATGTCCATATATGAAATGTTTGAAATGTCCATATATGAAATATCCATGTATGAAATATCCATGTATGAAATGTCCATCTATGAAATATCCATCTATGAAATGTCCATATATGAAATATCCATGCATGAAATATCCATGTATGGAATGTCCATCTATGAAATATCCATCTATGAAATGTCCATCTATGAAATGTCCATCTATGAAATATCCATCTATGATTAGTCCATATATGAAATGTCCATCTATGAAATGTCCATCTATAAAATGTCCATCTATGAAATGTCCATCTATGAAATGTCCATCTATGAAATGTCCATCTATGAAATGTTCATCTATGAAATGTTCATCTATGAAATGTTCATCTATGAAATGTTCATCTATAAAATGTCCATAAATGAAATGTCCATAAATGAAATGTCCATAAATGAAATGTCCATAAATGAAATGTCCATAAATGAAATGTCCATCTATGAAATGTCCATCTATGACATGTCCATCTATGAAATATCCATCTATGAAATGTCCATCTATAAAATGTCCATCTATTAAATGTCTTTCTCTAAAACGTCCCACTACCCTATACCATGTTTGATGTTAATTTCAAACAAAAACTAAAAACAAATGTCTAGGGTTACACAAACATATTTAATAAGTTAGAATTATAAAACCAAAATAAAAACATAATCTATCTTTATTGAATGCTAGATTATATTTAATCATAAGATAATAGTTCACTAGATTATAAATTACTGAGGTTTATTTATACTTTTATTAAAAATCATGAATAAATAAAACCCCGGGAGATTATTTGATAAATAGATTTCTATCCTGTTGTGATTAATTATTAGTTTTTTTTTCGCTTTCACTGAAATTAGAGAATACTAATAATTAAGCAAAATGTTTAAAATTCAAAGACCCGAAGAGCAATCTCTTTAAAATAATTTATTTGTAATAGTTAATGACAATACAACAGCGCAGCACAAAACGTTGAGGTATATATTTTTTAATTAACCTTGTGCTTACTAAATATTAGAAAAAAATCTAAAACGACCTGCATGCCGAATTTAAAGAATTTGAGCGGCGGCTTAAAGTTAAGCCGCAGCTCAAATCATGGTTGGTTTCACTTAAAATTGTATTCAATGTTTCAAGATTTAAGCCGGCGCTCAATTGAAACCGGTTTTTGGGGGATTTAAGACGCGGCTCAAATTCATTGTATTCGGACACTGAAAACAGACTTACTAATGCATCGAATTATTCTGATATGCGTGTGCTTACAACCAAAAATATTGTTTAACGTTTGCAATGGTTAAAGGGACCGTACGTAGACGTAATTAAAGATACTCTTTGTTTAAAGTTCGATTTACAAAGGTACCCTTTACAACAAAGATTACAGTGCACAAGCGCAAAAAATGGAGATATCCTTGAAATTGAAGTTTTTGGGATTATCTGTGAGTTATTTCTAAATCAACCATTCTTATTTCTGTTCTTTAAAGTTCTGTTCATGGCTCAACAAGAGAAATATTTACAATTTTAGAAAATTAGCTTTTCAAGCGATTATTTTCATCGAGTTTTCTCACGATTAACATTTCGATCAGTATACAGGGTGTCCCAATAAACATGGTTAGTGTAAACTTTTTATCAGTGCTTTAAATGGGGAAACGGAGGTGTCAGAGATCGACTGTCAATTAAAATTTTGGCCGGCAAGTATATTTAGACTTACATTCATCAAAGGAATTTACAAGTCTTTTCCACAAACTTAGATTTTCTAATCCCTATGTCTTTGTCTTTGTAACTGGATGGTGTAAACCTTTGATATATATTTCAAACTTAGATTATTTGATCTAACATTTTTCATAGTTAGAAAATATATCTAAGGGATTCACAGATATATAGTGATTAGCCAATTAGAGTTTGTGGCAAAGACGCAATTTTTTTCTTGGATAAAATGGTTTGTTTGTAAACAATAGTAGTTCTAGTAGAACTACACATCAAACACTTTAGGAGTTTGAACAAACTTTAGTTTACAAGTTTTACGAAGAAATGTTTTGACTAATTTAAGTTTAAATTAAGTTGTAAAGTGGAGAAAATACTAGATAGTGATACACACTTTACACATAAGGACATGAATATCTGTCACAAACTTAATTAAATTTACTAATCCATATAGATTTGCAACCTGATGGTGTAAACTTATGAAATTTCAAACTTCGATGATTTGAAAACCAAAGTTTGTGCATGGCTTAAGCTCAGTTTCTTTTTTTCTTTCTCTTTCACAATTCCATTTTTAGGTTTATTTAAAGAGGGGGGGGGGTGTATCACGCAATAAGCCCGAAGGGGGAGGGGAAGCAATAATTTTTTATTTAACTTTATGTTGGTTCGCAGTGCTTTAAAGTGTTTGGACATACATTTCTTTGTATCATGAGTGTTCAAAATATTATTTGAAAACATATGATGAACAAATCATCAAACTAAAAAATTAAATAAGAATAAAATAATTTTAGAATTTTAGAATTATAAAATTGAATAGAGAGACAGGATTAGCTGCAACGGCTGAACCAGTTCAAGTGTTGCTAATATGATATAATTAATGCCCTTGTCAAAGTAAATTCACTTGGGACAAGTTGAAAATGAGAAAATTTTTAAACTTTTCATTACGTCGTGATAAAATAATTGTGTAATTCTATGAAACTGACCCAATCACCTCCTCCGATCTCAAATCACTCCTTGATTACCCCAGACACCCAACTAGTAAGTTACTCAATTAAACATTAAGCAATTGTATTCTTATCTATTATTAAACTAAAAATGTATTTTGTAGGTTTGAAATATATTTATATATTTGCAACGTGTGTTTAAGGTTTAGAAGAGCCTTCGAACCTTCCGTCCGTGATTTGTGTCAACAAAGGTACAATTGATGCAATGTTAGTAAGTGAAAAGATTTTAGAATACATTTAAATTGTCCATTCTCATCATAAAACACAAGGCATATGCATTTTTAAAGGAAGATTTTGACTAAAAATATGTCACGGCCCCTGCCCTGACTTCCTAAAATACACCCCCCCCTCTGTTTTTGATGACAACAGTTGCAAAAGCCCTAACGATAGCCAATTATTTTTTATTTAATACTTCGCTAAAAATATGTGTTTTTAAGTTCTAAAATGTTCATATCTAGGGCTAAAAAAATGTGCAAATGAGTTTGTGTGGGTGAATGCGTTGCGCCTATGTTGTCCCCAGCCCAGGGTACCCATGAGTTCCCGAAAAAAATTTCAGCCAATTTTGACTAGCCGATTGGCCAGGTATATATATACAAATATCCATATAAATATATTTATGAGCGAAGAGAATTATTATAGAGATAAATGATTAAATGGAAAAGAGTGTGAAGACATGATATTATTGGATGTGTCTCAATCTTGACAGATTGCATTGAGAAGAATAAAGGTAATTTACTTACTGTAGATACAGTAACTAGAAGAATTAAGGTAATTTACTTACTTTAGATACAGTTACTAGAAGAATGAAGGTGATTTACTTACTTTAGATACAGTTACTAGAAGAATAAAGGTAATTTACTTACTGTAGATACAGTAACTAGAAGAAGGAAGGTAATTTACTTACTTTAGATACAGTTACTAGAAGAATAAAGGTAATTTACTTACCATAGATACAGTAACTAGAAGAAGAAAGGTAATTTGCTTACCGTAGATATAGTTACTATAAAGAAAAATGGTAATTTACTTACCATAGATACAGTAACTAGAAAAAGAAAGGTAATTTGCTTACTGTAGATACAGTAACTAAAAGAAGAAAGTTTATTTACTTACCGTAGATACAGTAACTAAAAGAAGAAAGTTTATTTACTTACTGTAGATACAGTAACCAAAAGAAGAAAGTTTATTTATTTACCGTAGATGCAGTAACTAAAAGAAGAAAGGTAATTTACTTACCGTAGATACAGTAACTAAAAGAAGAAAGTTTAGTTATTTACCGTAGATACAGTAACTAGAAGAATAAAGGTAATTTACTTACCGTAGATACAGTAACTAGAAGAAGAAAGGTTGTCTCGACAAGGGAACATTTATTTACAGGCTGACACTCAAGAATAGATTTACCTGAACATAAATTCTATTTTATATCTTCATTCGTATTGAGCATTTTCTGATTTTATTTTTACAGTTTTTTTTTACTTTTTTTTCTTCTTTTCAAGCTTCCATATATTCTCAACATAAAATACCTTTATACCTGTATTCGTACACAGCATACCCCTTTATTCATACCCTTTAAACCCCTGTTTTCCTAGCCTATATACCCCTGTATTCCTAACTTATATACCCCTTTATTCCTACCCTGAATACCCCGTTTTTCATACCCTATATGTGTATCCCTGTTTTCCTACCCTATATATTCCTTTATTCATACCCTATATACCACTGTATTCCTACCCTATATACCCCTTTATTCCTACCCTATGTACCCCTGTATTTTTACCCTATATATTTCTGTATTCCTACCCTATACATTACCCTATATATCCCTGTATTCCTACCTTAAATACCACTGTATTCATAAACTATAAATCCCTGCATTCCTACCCTATGTATCCCTATTAATCAACCCTATATATCCCTGTATTCCTACCTTATATATCCCTGTATGCCTTACCTATATTCGCCTGTATTCCTACCCTGTAATCCCCTGTATTCCTTACCCTATATTTCCCTGTATTCATACCCTGTATATTCCTGTATTCCTACCCTAAATACCACTGTATTCATAAACTATAAATTCCTGCATTCCTACCCTATGTATCCCTATTAATCAACCCTATATATCCATGTATTCCTACCTTATATATCCCTGTATTCTTACCCTATATATCCCTGTATTATTACCCTATATACCCCTGTATTATTACCCTTTTTATCCCTGTATTCCTACCTTATATATATCGCTGTATTTTTACCTCATATACCATGTATTCCTACCCTATATACCCTTTTATTATTACCCTTTATACCCCTGTATTATTACCCCATATATCCCTGTATTCCTTCCCTATATATGTACCCCTTCATTCCTAGCCTATATATCCCTGTATTCCAAGGTAATATATTCCGAACTTGTAATTCCTCCTCTCTGTAAGCATATTGAGAATATTGTGCCAGAATAATGTTAACATACAGATGAGAGAACCTGGGTATTCATCCATCCAAACTGTTGATGAGCTCCTAAATTAGGTATCGGGTATTTACACTTAGATACAGGGCAAACCAAGATAATATCCGGTAGTCTAACATACCATGCCTGTTCAGCTTAAGTCTTTGAATTTGAAGGAAATGGAGGGATAGATGGGAATGGATGGTTGGAAGGGGGTGGAGGATATAATAATAATATTTATATCTTGTATTAATTTCCTTTCATTTTATTTGCTTTGTTTCAGATAATCTGTCTATCTTGCTTTATTGCTATATCTGGATAATTACATTAGAATAATAAAGAAAACAATAAAGAAACTCATTTTCTACTTATTTCATCGAAAATAAATACTTCACTGCAAACTAAGATGTCAAGCTAAAATCAAGCAGTATAGTGTCAATTAATCCTTTAAAACCGAAGCCAGGACCAAGCACGTTGAATTTTTAAGAAAAATTAATTTTTCAATTGATAGTCAATTAATTCATTCAGCTTTAGTTAACTTTACTTCTAAAAAAGCAACCTCTAGAGTTTGGCCCAGAAATTGTCTTAACCTAACCTAACCCCACATATCGAATATCATTTTATTATTTTTGTATAAATAAGGCTGCAGCGCTCGGCCCCCTAGCCTGTCCTAGCCACAGCGCTCGGCCCAGAAATTTTCTTAACCATGCCTTCCCCTACATATCGGATATCATTGTGTTTGTTTGAATAAATATGACCACATTTCTCGGCCCCATAGTCTGTCCTAGCCGCAGCACTCGACCCAGAAATCGTCTTAGCCTAACCTAACCAAATTGTGAGGTTACCAAATTGTTGGTTACCAGATTGTTAAGTTACCAACTTATTAGTTACCAAAAATCCGCCCATCGGGGAGGTACCAACCTAAGGGTATTAGAATAGCAGATCTAACTAAGAAGGGGGGGGGGAAGGTACCCACCTAAGGGTATTAGAATAGCAGATCTAATTAGGTCCACAACTGCTTGATGAACCAGTAACCCTTGACTCCATCTAAATAAAAACAGTTTTTCACACAGCATAATACTTTTATACTTTTAAATTTGACAACGTAATTGCAGAACTATAGGGATACCCATGAAATTGTGGAATAGTAAGACGAGATTGAAGCAACCTTGTGAAATAAGTCTGTGTTCCATGGGGAAATTGATGCGTTTAAGGGACCGTTCACTCATTTGGGTAATTTCATGGTAAGCGAAACAGCCTTAAGCTGTTAATTGGTAGTTAGTCTTACTTTTCAAAGATAACTGTGGCCGGAGAAAAAGCGGATTTATATTTCAGAATTCCAGCACAAAGGTTTAGTACCTTTGCCTTGATCACTAAATTAGACGTTTTTTAGAAACAGCCAATGAATATTTAAAATTATCATTTTTTAATGCCATCATACGTTAGCCATTATGTACTAAAGTATGAAAACTTTTGATATTTGAGTGAGCAAGAAATTTTTAGACTTTTTAAAATGTGTATACTTAAAGACTACGTTCACTACAGCAATCAATTAATCATTACGCAATTTTTGTTCGTAGATTCAACTCCGAGTTTGATATAAATAAAATATACTATCTCACCTGCATTAATGAATTTGTGAATAATCCAAAATAGTACATTTTATTAAATTAACATTGAATAAATTGCGAACCCTGTTTCCTGTATTAATATTATTTCTATCAAATTCTAGAATTTCATAAAGATTGAATCACAGAATCACAGAACATTTGCAAAATTGTAATGAAAAAATTCTGTTATTCAATATTTACAAAATTTTAGAATTTGATAAAAAATAAGACATACACACATTTTTGCTTTTCTGAACTTTAAATTTGAAGAGAGAAAAAAAATTCGCGGAACTTTTTTTGGGCAAAAGAAAAATAAATTCCAAAAATATTAGAAAAATGAAACAAAAATTGCACAAAAAAATACAATTTTGCACCAGACGCCGCTAATCACACTTTTTTTTTTACTCACCCTGTAGTTTTAAAAAAGCTCGTTAGAAATAAAAAACTTAAATAGAAAGATCGTCTTCATTGTATTGATAGAAACGCCGACCAGTGTGTTCTTTTCAGAAGTTTTCCTGAATTTTATTTTAACACTAGTCTAAGAAGTTATTTTACTTTAGTTTTCAAGTTTGTTCAACTTGATACTCTCATTAAACTAGTATTTAATCTACAGGGAATAAAATAACTTTGCCCATAGGAATATACCTGGAACTCACATAATTTGTTTACATATGAAGTGTACTGCTGATTCTGGGGGAAAAGTAAACAATGCTCAGCTGAGTTTTGTTTCTATTCCTTCATGAAACTGAGTACATCAAATCAAACTTTTTTTTTAAAGCTATGGGACTTGTCCACCCTAAACTAACTATAGGTTTAGATGCCTTCAGTTTATTCAATTTGAATTCGATCATTAAATTTACAGACTTGTTGTTTTATAGTTTTTTTTATTTTCGACACTCCACCAACAAAATAGTATTTAAGAGAAAAAGTATAGAAGAGAAAAATTATATAAGAGACAAATTATATAAGAGAAAAAGTATATAAGAGAAAAATTATTTAAGAGAAAAAGTATATAAGAGAAAAATTATATAAGAGAAAAATTATTTAAGAGAAAAAGTATATTAGAGAAAAATTATATAAGAGAAAAAGTATAAAAGAGAAAAATTATATTAGAGAAAAATTATATAACAGAAAAAGTATATATCAGAAAAGTATATAAGAGAAAAAGTATATAACAGAAAAAGCTAAAGCACCAAACTGTTACATCTGCGTTCTAAAAGTTTCCAGTTTTTAGCTTGGCATCCCCAACTTAGGGGGTTATATTTTCTTGGGGGGGGGGGTCGTCTTAGTTTTTCCTTCTTTTTAATAAGAAGTTATGCAGACACCCTTGGTATATTTTTATTCCTTTGGGACTTGGTCTTCCGGGATTTCAACTTCATATATTTAGAATCATGAAAGTCAAAAGTGTTTTTTTTAAACCTTCTCTGTCCACCCCCTACCCCTCTTCCCCTCCCTTTTCATGCGTCCAAAACATCTCTAGCAAGAATATTAAATTTTCCGTGACGTAATTGTATTCTAAGAAAAGTTTAAAAGAAGTTTCATATAATCATCTTTTTTAAATAAAAGAGCTAGGTATTTAATAATAACGATACAACTGTATAAAGGTGTTTATTTTTCAAGCTTTCTTATAAACAAAATAATAGAAAAAATTACAATATTTAAAAAAAAAGTGTTGTGAGTATGTAATTCATCTAAATACATTTTACATTTTAATAAGTTCAGGAATGCCGCAAATTAGTTCATAAAACAAGACCGTAAAGAGCAAATAGGTTGTCAAGTTGACAACAATGTAATCTTATGTGTATTTGATGTTATAAAAGAAGGAAGACGACAATAATGTAATCTAATGTGTATTTGATGTTATAAAAGCAAGGAAGACGACAATAATGTAATCTAATGTGTATTTGATGTTATAAAAGCAAGGAAGACGATAATAATGTAATCTTATGTGTATTTGATGTTATAAAAGCAAGGAAGACGACAATAATGTAATCTAATGTGTATTTGATGTTATAAAAGCAAGGAAGACGATAATAATGTAATCTTATGTGTATTTGATGTTATAAAAGCAAGGAAGACGATAATAATGTGTATGTCATGTTATAAAAACAAATTGTATTACCTGTACCTTGAAAATCGAAAATTTAAATGGGTCTGTTTATATGCACAATGCACAATTGTTGTGTTTCATGTCCATTGGCCTTTTTAAATTCATAACTTGAGTTTAACAGTCGTCTTCCTATTTTATAGTTTTATGGGGCCAATTGCTGCACATTGTTTAATAAATCATTAGTTTTATTAGTTTTCAATATATATAATAATAGAAAAGAAACCGAATCTTGGTTACAATAATTGAATAGGAATTTTTATCATTTTATCATTCTTTAAATGCAAAAACATTTCTCTCTAAATCCCAGTTAAATTCTTTCAAATACATGAATTCAATTATAGAATAATAAAAACACAAAATGCAAATACAAATATAAAAACTTGTATTTTTGAAAGGGGTAGATTTTTATTATTCCATATCTTAGACAAAAAAATGGCTTGGCTTGAAATTAAACAGTTATGAACAATGTCATCAATGGTATGGTTTTAATTTGTTTTAAAATTTTTTTTCGAATGTAGGTACTATGTAGTTGTACCAAAAAATAATCAAAAAAAAAGGTTTTGATGTATTTCATTCTTTAATATTTCAGTTTTACTTTAAGTCTCATGTAATTTTGTTTATGGAGTTAGGCTAAAAAATTTGCACGAATTTATTATAAAATAATTTTAAGATAAACATAAATATGTGCATTTAAAACATAAATTTTTAATAAATCTGATAGTTTTCATTTAGTTCTAGATTGGTTTAATAATGAAATACTAATTAATTTCTATCAATCAAATAATAATTCTACTCTACACAATACAAATACATTTTTGTTTTCACAAATCGATGTTTGGTAGATAGGGGGGTAGGAAGGTAGGTATGCAGGTATGTAGGTATGTAGGAAGGTAGGTATGCAGGTATGTAGGTATGTAGGTAGGTAGGTATGTAGCTAGGTATGTATGTATGTAGTTATGTATGTATGTAGGTATGTAGGAAGGTAGGTATGTAGGTATGTAGGTATGTAGGTATGTAGGTAGTTAGGAAGGTAGGTATGCAGGTATGTAGGTATGTAGGTATGTAGGTATGTAGGTAGTTAGGAAGGTAGGTATGCAGGTATGTAGGTAGGTATGTAGGTATGTAGGTGTGTAGGTATGTAGGTATGTAGGTATGTAGGTATGTAGGTATGTAGGTATGTAGGTATGTAGGAAGGTAGGTAGGTAGGTAGAAAGTAAATACACTACTCCATAAACTGCTCTCGAACCCGTATCTATCCAGGTACAATTCATTTTCACTTAGCTAACAATGTCTACACGGACACAAACATGTAACTATCAATACCTCAACAACTATACTCCAGCTTCTCTAGCCCGCTTGGCACTCACACATGAAGCCGAATGAGTCCCAATTCTCAGGTTTTAGGTCATCAGACCGTATCGACTATTATACCGTTTACCGGCAATCAATTTCAAGAAGTATCTGAGTTATTCACGAATTAGTTACTTATGATCACATTCACTCTGGTCTGAACTTAAAAATAGAATCTTGTGAAGTTGTGGAACTTTGTAAAATTAAAAACTGGAATGCTTGAATGCAAAACCAACCAAAAAACTTTCGCCGTTTATCTGTGCTTGATCGTAAATTACGATGATTTTAGCTATTTTTATCTATAAAAAGTGGACCCACTGAATTTAGAATCTTAAAACTAATCTTGAAACGTTCCCTGGGATCACCAGAATTTCCCAACAAAAATTAAGGCAAATCGGAGAAAAATGTGTATTATTAAACTCTACCATGAAATACTACCTTACCAATTCAGGATATTTTGGGGTAAATTTTTTATATTTGGGGGCATTCTTTTCAGTTTGGGGCAAATTTGTGGGGGAAAAATCTTAAATCTATATTCAGGGGAAAATCAAATTTTTGAGGGCAATTTTCAGGTAGGGGAAATCTTAAATCTTTGTTTTGGGTAATTTTGTGTATAGGAAATCTTTTTTATTTATTTGGGGGGAAAATTTTTTATTTACGGCATTTTCAAAATATTTGACGGAGTTTTTTATAAAAGGGTAATATTTTTTGGTTGGGAGTAATTACCTCAAAGTTAGGTGTATTTATAAAACATTTGGGGATAAAAATAAATAGGTGCAAATTATGTATGTTCGGTGGCATTCTAAAAAAAGTGGACAACTTTAAGCCTGGTGGGGCAATAAGAATAAGAATGTGTGAGAATAATTTAAAAAATCAAATTTGGGGCCATTTTTCTAATAAAGGGGGCAAAAAGAAAAAGAATCTGAGCTTATATTGAAAAATGTTAAAGTGGAATTAGAGTTTGCTTTAATAGTTGGGGGACATGAATGAGAGTAAGTTTTAAAAAAATTAAAGAAAATTAGTTATATTTGGAGCTATATGGACCCCTGTTAAGCACTTTTTGCCCCCTCCCTAATGGGGGGCCTTCCCCCATACCCCCCCTAGTTGAGCGCCTGCTCATCATAACTTGGCCATGATAGATCCCGGGACGATTCATCGCAGGACGATAGATCGAGGGATGCTAGATTGCGGGACGATAAATCGCTGGACGATAGACCCCGGAACGATAGAGATCGACGGCGGCGGCGGATTGCAGGTTTCTATTTTAAAACCTGTATACTTATTTTTTCAGGTTAAAAAAATCCTTTAAGTGTGACTTTATACATACTATTCCATTCATAAACATTTCTTTAAACTGAAGCCAATAAATGACACTGTAAACTCTGTTTCATTTCAATTATATGCTAATGGAAAATTGAAACAATGGTGCTAGGAAAGTTGAAATAAGGGTGCACAACCGTTATAGCATATTGCATAGATATGATATATGCTAACGGAAAGTTGAAACAAGGGTGCTATGATATATGCTAACAGAAAGTTGAAACAAGGGTGCTAGGATATATGCTAACGGAAAGTTGAAACAAGGGTGCTATGATATATGCTAACGGAAAGTTGAAACAAGGGAGCTATGATATATGCTAACGGAAAGTTGAAACAAGAGTGCTATGATTTATGCTAACTGAAAGTTGAAACAAGGGAGCTATGATATATGCTAACGGAAAGTTGAAACACGGGAGCTAGGTGCTATAATATATGCTAACGGAAAGTTGAAACAAGGGAGCTAGGATATATGCTAACGGAAAGTTGAAACAAGGGTGCTTAGGATATATGCTAACGGAAAGTTGAAACAAGGGTGCTATAATATATGCTAACTGAAAGTTGAAACAAGGAAGCTAGGATATATGCTAACGGAAAGTTGAAACAAGAGTGCTATAATATATGCTAACGGAAAGTTGAAACAAGGGTGCTATAATAAATGCTAACTGAAAGTTGAAACAAGGGAGCTATGATATATGCTAACGGAAAATTGAAACAATGGTGCTATGATATATGCTAACGGAAAGTTAACACAAGGGTGCTATAATATATGCTAACGGAAAGTTGAAACAAGGGTGATATAATATATGCTAACGGAAAGTTGAAACAAGGGTGATATAATATATGCTAACGGAAAGTTGAAACAAGGGAGCTAGGATATATGCTAACGGAAAGTTGAAACAAGGGTGCTATGATATATGCTAACTGAAAGTTGAAACAAAGGTGATATAATATATGCTAACGGAAGGTTGAAACAAGGGAGCTAGGATATATGCTAACAGAAAGTTGAAACAAGGGAGCTATGATATATGCTAACGGAAAGTTGAAACAAGGGTGATATAATATGCTAACGGAATTTGAAACAAGGGTGAAGATATCAAACACAAATAGATCACACTCTAATTTTTAAAGAAAATAAGGTAGGATATTCTATATGTTGGACAAAAAAAACGATGGATCACTGAAATACTAGAATTTTGTATTTTGTATATCAAGTCAAGGAGTTTTAGTTTACCGCTAGCTCTTATGCACAAAAGTTCGGAACCCATGTTTTCAATGTTTTAGAAAATTGAACAGATTTGTTTTTACCTTCTATTTGGTGGTTTTACCAGTAGAACCAGACAAAGAAGAAGATTAGCAGATATACCTGGATTCAAACAACTTTCTTCTAAACTTATAGCTCCTACCCCCCATCTAGCTCCTTCCCCCCCCCTCTATATTTTCTTATGTTTTGGAACCTGCACAGTGCTGTATGCTTATAGGGTACAGAATGGATTAATTACATATATGTTTCCCAACCAAAACAACTTTTAAATTATCATTTTGACATTTTGGTTAATCATTTTCATATGTTAAATAATACAATAGGGTTAATCATTCAATTAACCAAAAATGGGTTCAATTCAAGCTAAACCTTTGCTATTCGTTGAAATCAAAACTTTAATTTTTGATAATTTACATAGTAAAGAGGAATGGACTGATTAATATTAGCTGAGCTGAAAACTTTAGAATGAAATATCCAGATATCCGATGGATTAGCTTCTCTGGAGTTTAAATTCATGTGGAGAACAAGCAATATTTAAACTGGATATTAAGAAAAAGAGTGGTTTAAGCCATTAAGTGGATGACGCCCATTCTAAAGTTTTCAGCTCTGATCAATTATTAATTGATCAGCGATCAATTAGTAGGAGAGAAATTATTATTCGATCTACTAGGAGGGAATTGATCAGTTAGTAGGAAGGAGCTGATTAATTGAAAAAATAGTAGGAGGGAACTGATTAATTGATCTAAAAGTAGGATGGGATTGATTAATTGATCTACTAATAGAAAGGAGCTGAATAATTGATTAAATAGTAGAAGAGAACTGATTAATTGATCTAATAGTAGGATGGAATTGATTAATTGATCTACTAATAGAAAGGAGCTGATTAATTGATTAAATAGAAGAAAAGAACTGATTTATTGGTGAGGACATGTTTATTTATCAGCCAGTAGTAAAATATGTTTAAACTATTATCTCTTTGGACTTTCATCAAGTTAAGGTATTTCTTCATAAGAACATTAATCATATAACGTTCTACCATGGGTACCATGGGTACCCATGCGTTCTACACAACTACACAAAGCTCAACACTCCCCCCCCCTTTCCCCTTAAGGTGTTGAAGTATTAGATTCTGTTAATCCAGGTCCTCGTATACCTCCAGGTACAGCCATACTAAATACCTAGAGTAATGTCGTCTATGTATTTCAAATTCCTTTGACCATAAATTTATTATGAATAAGATCAAAATATATGATGAATATAAAACTAATTATTATTCTGTAGTGTATAGTTAACCTTTCAACCTTAAACAGGTTTCAAACTTATTAAAGATATTGCAGACTTTTGAACAATTTTGTTGTTATTTAATAAATTTGAATCTGGACAAATTTACTAATATATCCATCAATTTTGATTGTGTAGAAATGGCAGACAACATTTTAAAGATTACGGTGTAGATTGTTTAACTGGGATATTACTAATATTGTTGTAAAAATAATAAACCCCATGTTAAGGTGAAGTGAGCAGCAGCTTGTGATAGAATTAAAAAACTGCAGAATGCAGACACTGCTGGGCTTTTGGAGAACTTTGAAGATTTTTATGTGATTCTAAACCTGAAAGTATCCTATTTATTACTTAAAATATTTGAAATATTAATGTTTTAGAAAAAAAGTTAATCGGTATAAACATCGGATACTCCTCTAACCTTAATGGTCTGAAAAACATTTTACAAAACTTTAATGACATAGCGTAAAATTGAGCATTTTTAATTTGAACATATTTTTGGAAATGCAAAAATTGAACTTCTAAAAACTGTGCAGACGGTGAGTGATATCGAGAATTGATCAAGGATTGAACTGAACAAGTATCAAGGATTCAACTAAACAAGGATCATGGATTGATCAAGGATACTACTGATCAAGGATTAAACTGAACAAGGATCAAGGATTGGAAAAGGATCACCAGAAGATCGAGGATTGAAACTATAATCTTCGAAGAAAACAAGCAACAACAAGAGAAATCTAGCCTGGATGTTGCCAACGTAAGTCTTTGTATGATCATGTAAAATTATATTGTTCTAAAAATCTAACAGATTCTTTTGTATTTTAAAGTTAAAAAAACTTGACTAAAGAAAACCTAAATATTTTAAACATTAACCATTTTCTATACATTAGCAAATTTTCTTGAAAGGATGTATTTTAAAAACATAAATATGTAGATCGTTATTGTATACAGATTTTTATATTGTCTTGATTAAGGGTTTTTGATCGCTTGTGAAGTAACTTATAATTCCAAATGATCGCATACTAAAAAATTTGCTGAAAAAATGGCAGGCTGGACATTCCGCAAATAAAATATAAAGAAAAGGTGGGATATTTTGACAATTGTGTACACGAAATTATGCCGCGTATATCAAAGACGATCAAGAATATGAAGTCGTCACTTAATTAATTGATTTATTTAGACACCATATATAATCTGTAAACCCACTTTTAATGTTGAAACTCGATTATAATTAAAGATCCCAAATTTAAGATTATAATGAACTGAGAAATTTGGCTTTACGGGATAAAATGAAAGGTTCTTTATATGACGGAGGGAGTAGTGGGGAGTAAGGAAGGGGAGGAAGGGTGGGTTGGGATGGGGAATAGGGGATATGCTTGTTTTCTATTTCTTAGTTCTTCTAAAGTAATAAAATGTTTAAACAAAAGAAACTAATAAAACTAGGAAGTGAATCAGAGGAAAGTTGTTTTAAAGTTCCTTTTTATATTTTATAACTTTTTCTCTAGAACATAGTATAATAATGTGCTACACACACCTTGTATTTCAAAGAAATGTAAATCAAATAAATTCTGAACCCGTAATTTAAATGAGTTTTCTTTTTGGGGTCTTAAGAGATTTTGATTTGGGAAATGGAAAATATGAAAAAGCTGAATAAAATAACATTTCATAACGAGAATATTATTTCCACAAAACTGCCTAATGGGTTTCAAAACTGGTTTTCATAACGATATCCTGTCTTAAGTTTTGGGCTCTGGTGGGCAGGGCATTGTATTTTAAAAAAGATCAACAATTCCTTTGATTGAAAGAAGGGGGTTTGGGGTTTGAGTCCCCCAGGAAAGTTTAAATATGGTTCAGCCCTCCTCACCCCCCCCCCCCTCGGACAAATCTTCGCCTTTGCCACGTCAACAGATGTAAGTACTATTTAGCTTTGGAACCCAGCCTTGTCTGGAAAACAAGATTTACCATTAAAGTCAATCTAAACACAAATAAGAACTTTTAAAGGCCGCTGAAAACATTCCCGTGGTTCTGCTGATTTCCCAAATCTATATTTGAGGCAAATCGGTTCAAAGGTTAAAGATTTATGATCGGACATTCAAACAAACAAGCAGTTTCAGACAAACAGAGATTACTACTTTATATGAATACTAGCTTGGGAACCCGGCACTGCCCAGGGTACTCAAAGATACTTCCGCCATTTACCTGCAATTAAACGATTTTACCGGGAAACTAAATGTTCGCTATAAAAGTCGACCAATTGATTTTAGAATCTTAAACCAAAGTAACAACATTCCCGTGGCTCTCCCGAGTTCAACAATCAAAATTTGAGGCAAATTGGTCCGGGGGTTCCTAAGTTATGATCGGAAAAACAAACAGTCAGACACCCAGACAGACAAACAGATATTACAACTATATATATAGATATATCTCAAGTTTAGAAGTTGGAAACAAATATATTATACTTTTAATATACATCTATAAGCTTGAAACTTGAAAGCCTCATCCACCATGTATAATGTGTGTGCACTGTTCAAAATGGAAAAAGCAAATATGAAAAGATTTGTATTACAAAGTTGAGCTTATAAGGTTGTGATAACAAAATATAATTAATTTAACGTCTTTCAATTTAAAAATTCTATGGTTGAAAAACATTTACTTAAAATAAATTAAAAAACATTAAAAAAATTTGTAAATTAAATTTTTTTTTAGTTACCTTAATATTATTTCCAACTCGTTAACTACTTCAGTATCATTACATCTGAAAAACAGTTTTTTAAATGTATGTAGTTTTTTATGTAACAAGTAGATACAGTGAGACCCATGAAACTGTGGACTAGGAAGACGACATTTAACAAGTAGATACAGTGAGACCCATGAAACTGCGGACTAGGAAGACGACATTTAACAAGTAGATACAGTGAGACCCATGAAACTGTGGACTAAGAAGACGACATTTAATCAGCTTGTATTTAATGCTGTCATACATAAGGTAAATAGATTTACCATGCAGTTGTTTGAAAATCAATTGATTAAATAGAAATGGATAAAGCTACCTTCAGTTCAACAAACGTTTTCCTTTTTTATCTTCTTAATTAAAATTAAAAATTATTACTTTCCTTAAAGTGGAAAAAAATAATGTTTTAAAATGTTTAAAAGTTTAAACATCAAGCTTAAAAAAATATTTGTTTTTTATCAAAAAAATTTAAAAATGCATTCTGAAAATTGAAAAAATCATTTATTCAGAGCACTGATGTTAGAATTGAAAAATATATATTCTTTATATATCCAGGACTAACCCTGACAAGATTTATTACTTCTTTTATATCTTTCCGGCCTTTTGAGGTATATTTATACTATTTAACATATAACACTTCATTTTTTTTATTTTTTTTTTATTTTTAAGATTTTAATATTTATACATTAAAACCGTTTATATTGTTTTTGACCATATATAGTATTTAGTATATCACCTTTTGATAGATTTCTTTTACATGTGGTTTAAACAATATTTTTGTTTCATTTGCTCTTATAAATTCACTTAAAGATAAAAGTGTTTGTAGTTAGACATGGTGAATTTTTTTTAATGAATAAATTTTATATATCCTTGCGATAGCAAGGGGAAAAAATTCAGACTGGTTCAAAATATTTAAAATACAAAACTCTGGTTTTTAGGTTTCTTTCTGACAATTGAGTAATCGTGGAGCTAAGCGTTAACCAAAACAAAAGCACAATTAATTGTTAAAAAGTCTAATTATAAAACCAAAAGTACATTGTATATTTGTTGATCAAAAAGAATTTTTAATAAACAAGTAAAATGGAACCAAAAAACTATTATCAAAATTATCAAAAAAAAAGCAAATTACATCTGATTTTTCATATAAATATTTTTATCCTTTTTTTGCTTTTTCGACTTTAAAGAAAAAGTACAAACCGTTGAAAAGACTTTAACCAGAAAGGCTAACTTTTTTTTTTAAATAAAAAGTTTTTGTTATTTATGTATATAGCAAAAAGTTCTAAAACTTTTAGTACTTTTAGCCTAGATACATTAAACTTTTTTCGCAATTCACTATTTATATATTTATCAATTCCATTCATTTCCTATAGACCAGAACTTTCTTCTTCGAATTAATCTAACTTTTAAAGTTTTAATATTTGAGTGATAAATTCTATTAGTAATTTTGTTAATTCTATAATTTTCATCTGTGGAACTAACACCTCCTTTATTAACTCTAAAATATATTGTGATTAATTTATATTTTGGAATTAAAAGCTCAGCCGTTTTGACGTTTATTGGATCCAAGCTGAAGGGCTCGGCGTTAATTGCCGGTGGAAAAATAATAAAAAATTCTGAGAAAATTTTTTTTCGATTTTTTAGCCTATAACACCCCCTGACCACACCCTTGAGTGTCCACAAAAAATTTCAGCTCATTCGGTCCAGCCGTTTAGCCGGCTATGGGCAACATATATATTTACGAATGTCTTGTTTTATTATATAGACTCTATAGACAGGCCAACACCCAGATAAACGAGCCACATTTATAGATACTATAAGCTTGCAAGTTGCACGGTACCTCGCCCCCCCCCCTTTTCTGTGACGATGTTAAATTTTCAATTTTGCTTTGATCGTGTCTTTCCAGCCGCCATTTTTATCGTACATTGTACAGTTTTGGAGATTTTGTTTATCCGTATTCATTGATTTCTAAAAAAAGTTTAAGAAATCGAAATTTTTATTTTTGCGTTTATTGGATAAATCTAAGAAACAAACCTACCTCCAAACAAA